CTATTCAAGGCCCAGAGTTTGATCCTTCGTCTGATGAGTCACAGTATCCTGTGCCAGCGCATGTACCAACAGAGGCACCTAGTCAGGATTTCTTTCGGCAGTTTATGGCCGCGATGATGCCTCAACAGAGGAGTTTCATTGATGCTGTGATGCGGCATAACCCACCAACATATTCTGGTTCAGTGGAGCCAGGAGTCCTTGAGTTTTGGGTTGAAAAGATGGAAAAGATATTTCGTGTTGTTCAGGTTCCGCCAGATCAACGAGTTAATATTGGAGCCTATTTCTTGGAAGGCCGAGCAAATCGGTGGTGGTTAGGTGAAGAAGCTGCAGGTGTAGACCAAGTGGATATGACTTGGGATGAATTTAAAGCAAAGTTAAAGGCTAGGTTTATACCGTCGCATATTCGAAAAGCGAAGAAGCAAGAATTGCTGGACTTAAAGCAGGGCTCGATGTCAGTTGAGGATTATTTTGTGAAGTTTAATGAGTTGGAGATGTATGTTCCTGACTACTTTTCCTGTGAGCGAGACAGAATTGACCATTTTGTAGACGGGTTGCAACACAGAATTCAAGAAGCTTTAGCGGTGTTGGATATCAGTTCATTGTATGAGGCTTACGAGCGTGCTGCCCGATTTTATCAGAAGCAGGAAGTCAGACAAAAGGAGAGTGAGAAGGAAATAGGTTATCAACATCAGGTTCGAGATAAGGGAAAAGCTAAAGTGGAGGATGAGCCCAAGGGTAAAAAGAAATGGTGGCAAATGTTTAGGTCTGGGCCATCGTATAAGGGGATTTCGATTAATGAACCGAGTCAGGAGAGGTCTCAGCAATCGGGGGCTGTTTGTCGGCGTTGTGGAACAAGCCACCCAGGTACTCGTTGTGATAAAGTTCCATTGACATGTTTTAAATGTGGTGGTAGTGGTCACATTGCCAGGTTATGTCCAAGTGTGGTAACTGCAAGGGAGTTTCCAGAACCGAGGTTTAGGCCATGGCAGCCGCCGTCTTCGCAGTCACAAGGGAGAGGATTAGGATCATCTTGGCGAGGGGGACGAAGTCAGTCACGTTCGTCATCTAGGCAGCCAGGCAGAGGACCTGACCAGCGTGGTCGAATAAATGTTCTTACCCAAGCAGAAGCTGATTATCATCCAGGTGAGGTTTTAACGGGTAGATTTCTTGTTTGCGGTTTGTCAGCTCTTGTGTTATTCGATTCGGGTGCAACGTTCTCGTTCATATCTAAGCGTCTAGTTAGACGATTGGGTCTGAATTCATCAGTAGAAGTGGTAGTGGAAGTTTTTACTTCCATCAGGAGAAGTGTTGGAATGCCGAGAGCTTTATATGCAGATTCCGGTTAGTATTGAAGGGGTTGATTTTGTTACTAACTTGTTGGGCATCAAGCTATCCGAGTTCGATGTAATATTGGGGATGGATTGGTTAGTGGCATATCAAGCTCAATTTGATTGTCGAAAAAGATCAATTTCGCTGGTTGGAGCGATGGGCGAACTGGTGAATTATGCAGGATCTGCCAGACAACCTTTTATGAAGGTAATTTCATCCCTATCATTTCAATCATTTATTCGTAAGGGGTTTCCAGTATATCTGTGTGAGGTAAGAGATTTGACGCAAGGGGAGCAGCGATTGCAAGATATTCCTGTAGTCCGAAATTTTCCTGATGTATTTCCTGATGACATTCCGGGTATGCCACCAGCTCGTGAGGTGGATTTTGCTATTGATATTGTGCCGGGTGCTGAGCCAGTATCAAGGGCTCCATACCGGATGGCACCTTTAGAACTAGCTGAACTTAAATTGCAACTACAGGAATTGCTAGATAAGGGTTACATTCGGCCTAGTACATCGCCTTGGGGAGCTCCAGTTTTATTTGTGAAAAAGAAAGATGGAAGTTTGAGGTTGTGTATTGACTACCGTGGACTGAACAAAGTCACGGTGAAGAACAAATATCCTCTTCCGAGGATTGATGATCTATTTGATCAACTGAGAGGTGCAACTATATTCTCAAAGATTGACTTGAGATCTGGATATCATCAGCTAAGGATTGCAGAGCATGACATTCCGAAGACAGCTTTTCGGACTAGATACGGGCATTATGAATTCACGGTTATGTCCTTTGGGTTGACTAACGCCCCGGCTGCGTTTATGGAGTTGATGAATAGAATTTTTCAACCATACCTCGATCAGTTTGTGGTGGTATTTATTGACGATATCTTGGTCTATTCCCCAGATAAAAAGACGCATGCAAAACATTTGCATGTAATATTAAACATATTGCGTGCAAGAAAGTTATATGCCAAGTTATCCAAATGCGAGTTTTGGTTGAAGGAGGTTGCTTTCTTGGGGCATGTTGTTTCTGGAAAGGGTATCTCAGTAGATCCTTCTAAAGTGGCGGCAATCTTGGATTGGCCAAGACCTACCAATCAATCAGAAGTAAGAAGCTTTTTGGGTTTGGCAGGATATTATCGGCGATTCGTTCTTGATTTTTCGAAGGTTGCAAAACCATTAACTAATTTGCTGAAAAAGGATGCAAAGATTAACTGGGATCACGAGTGTGAGTCATCCTTTTTAGAATTGAAACATCGATTAACTTCAGCGCCAATTTTGGCTTTACCAGTGGAAGGTGAGGATTTTGAAGTGTATAGTGATGCTTCGAAGCAGGGATTGGGATGTGTCTTAATGCAGAATCAAAGAGTTATTGCTTATGCATCACGACAACTAAAACCTCACGAAGAGAATTATCCGACACACGACTTGGAAATGGCAGCAGTTGTGTTTGCTTTGAAGATTTGGAGACACTATCTTTATGGAGCCCATTGCAGAATATTTACTGACCATCAAAGTTTGAAATATATCTTCACCCAAAAAGAATTGAATTTAAGACAAAGAAGATGGTTAGAATTGGTGAAGGATTATGATCTTGAAATTGTGTATCATGAAGGCAAAGCAAATGTTGTAGCCGATGCCTTAAGTCGAAAACCAAGGCATAACTTGGGCTTCATGTCGGTTGCTGATGAACTGTGTCAAGATTTAGCGCGGATGGAAATTGAGGTACTTGGACGGGGTATGACTCGGGGATATTTGCAAATGATACAAGTTGAGCCTGAAATTTATGATCGCATTAGAGCGGCTCAAATGGAAGATAATAAAATGGTTGAGCTTGCAGTGAAAGTTCAGTACGGTCAGACTCAAAATTTTAATATTGCTCCAGATGGGAGTCTTCGATTTCACGGGAGGTGGTGTATCCCAAAGGATCGAAATGATTTGAAAGAGCAGATTATGAGTGAGGCTCATAATACACCATACTCAGTGCATCCGGGGGGAAATAAAATGTATCATGACCTACGTCAACATTTTTGGTGGAAGGGCATAAAGAAGGATGTAGCCAAATTTGTTGCACGATGTTTAAATTGTCAAAAGGTAAAAGCAGAACATCATAGACCAATGGGGTTGCTACAACCTTTAGAAGTTCCACTCTGGAAATGGGATTCTATCGCAATGGATTTTGTAACAGGACTTCCAAGGTCAAAGTCGGGAACAGATGCAATTTGGGTAATTATAGACAGATTGACCAAGTCAGCAGTGTTCATTCCAGTACGTATGACTTGGAGTATGCAGAAATTGGCCAAATTATATGTTCATTATGTGGTTAAACGACACGGTATTCCTGAGGTGATCATATCAGATCGTGATCCACGTTTTCAATCTCGATTTTGGCAAAAATTGCAGGAAGCCTTTGGTACTCAGTTGCATATGAGTACTGCATTCCATCCTATGACTGATGGTCAGTCAGAAAGAACTATCCGTATTCTGGAAGATATGCTAAGAGCTTGTGCTATGGAATTTCAAGGGAGTTGGGAAGACCACTTGGATTTAGTGGAATTTTCATATAATAATAGCCATCAAGCAAGTATCGGAATGGCTCCTTTTGAAGCTCTTTATGGTCGAAAATGCAGAACTCCTTTGAGTTGGGACGATATGAGTGATCGACTGATACTGGGTCCGGAAATGATTGAGGAATCGAAAAATAAGATTCAAATTATCAGAGAAAAGATGAAGGCAGCTCAAGATCGTCAAAAGAGTTATGCCGATAGAGCCCGACGTGAGGGTCAATTTCAAAGTGGAGATTTTGTCTTATTGAAAGTATCCCCAATGAAAGGTATTAGAAGGTTTGGGATTAAAGGAAAATTGAGTCCGCGTTATGTTGGACCTTATGAAATTGTCGATCGAGTTGGTGATTGGGCTTATCGGTTGGCACTTCCAAATTCTATGGAGCGTATCCATAATGTGTTTCATATATCTCAGCTTCGTAGGTATGTTGCAGATCCTTCTCATATTTTATCTCCAGATGAGATAGAGCTGAATGAAGATCTTTCGTATGAAGAAAAGCCTCTGTGGATCATGGACACAAAGGTCCGACCATGAGGAATCGAGATATTCGTATGGTGAAAGTAATGTGGTCCAGACATGGAGCGGAAGAGGCCACGTGGGAAGTAGAACAAGAAATGTTCAAAGCATACCCACAATTGTTTAATTAAGTTGCCTTGTTATGTGTTTGAGTTTAGATTTCGGGGACGAAATCTTTTTAAGGGGGAGTGGATTGTAATGCCCCGATTTCGGAATGTATAAAATAATATTATTATAGCAAATAAATATTTGACAATAGTAATGGAATCAAGAAATTAATATTTTGGGATAAATTATATTCCAATTTTGTATATTAGTTATAATTAAATAGACTGTTAAACGGATAAATATTGATAAATATAAATATAAAATATAAAATATATAATAATATAATAATAATAATAAAGGTAATGATGATGAAGATAATATTTATAATAATAACGTTAATAATAATAATATAATATAATATATATATAATAATAATATAATTATATATATATATATAACAAACTTACCTGCGAAGGAAGGCAGAGGAAGAAACGTGAAGGGAGGAAGAAGAAGGAGAAAGAAAGAAAAAGATTTAGCCGTTCGATTCCAATTCCGACTTGGGTATGGTATTCCTTGCTATTCGTAGAGTCCGATTATAAATTTTAATACGAATTTTGATATTGGAGTATTAAATTAGAAATTCTTCAAAAATTCAAAATTGGCTATTTAGGTATTTAATCGATGAATTTCTTTAGCTAATAGCCTATTTATAGTCCTAGTATTATATTCTGAGAATTTCGTATCAATCCGAGCCGAATTGAAAACGGCAGTATATTGCACCTGCCTGCTTGTTCATACATTTGCGTATTTTTATTTAATAATCGGGCAATATAAATATTATGAGGTAGAAGGATTTTATAGCTAGAATATCATATTCTACTAAATATAAAAGTTTGGAGCCCGACGAGTTAATTATAGAAATTAGCTTTTGAATAAGCAGGTAGCTCCTGAGAATAAGCATAAAGCTCATCTGATTTGAGTAAATAATGGAACAGGTGTACGTTGGAGGAGATTTGGGTGAAGTTATAAAAATCCAGAAAGTATCGGTAGGAGGTAAGCAGTAGGGAATTAAATCTAATTTTAAGAAATTAGGTATTTATGTTGCATATGATTCTGATTCTGATATTGATATGATATTATGTGGAATCATTTGGTCAGTGCATCTATATATGTATATATGTGTGTGTATATGCATGTGTGAAACTTCGTTTTACGATATTTGATATACGTATTTGATCGTGTTGGTGAATTTATGAAAAGGAGGATAGGTGGGCCGTCTCACCAGCCCTTTTCATTAAATTCACTTATTGACATGCTGCACACATCGCACGATTTATCGGATATGTTTTATGGATCTATCGTTTAGTCGCCGTGTGCGGTAGTGCTAGGCGAGGGCATCATCTGGGGTTAGGATATTCGACCCCGATGTACCGTAACACTTTGGCGATAGTGGACGATAGTAGTCGGACAACTGGGTGACTTAGTCGCACGGTCATTCAGGGATTAGACCCATTGCAGTTGAGACGTATTTGGTCTAATCATTCGTGTTCGGTGTTGTTCCACTCATTGGAGTAGCTACTAGTGAGGTCTACCGGTAGTTTAGGATCATATGCCAAACTCCAAACGCGATCCCGTTAGGGCGTGCGAGGAGGAGTAGAGTTTCCGGGTTTCCTTCGGGTGATTCCAGGTTGCACGGATTCTACTACGTTACACGGGGTAGGGCTAGACAAGAGGGTCCTATCTTCGCTATCACAGACTATGGGGTGTCTTGTGGTTAATGGCGACCACGCTCGGCTATCCATGTATTGATTGCGGGAGTCGTATGGTGGGTATATGGAAGTGACCGGGTGACCGTTATATTATTATGGGTTTACCAGGTCCCTCCTTGAGCCGAGGATTTTCCGGCTATTTATTGATGATAGTCTAGTGAGCTGTTATTATGGAGCCGAGGTTATTCCGGCTGCTCACTTTGACATATGTATATGGGTATATGTGCATGAGTTGTCGATTTTGACATTATTGTTACATTATTTCAGTATGGGCATGGCATGGCATTTATTTTGCAAATGACGGAAATTAAACTCTATTTTCGAGCATGACATGGCATATTTTATGTTAGTTCTTAAAATGGATTTAATTCTAGACTGCTTTTAAGAAAAATATTTGATTCAGGTACGCATGGCACCTCCGGGACAGGGGACGTCTCGGGAGATAGAAAGACGGGCTGAATGAGTGAACTGCATATAATGTATTATATGTAAATTCTAACTAGAAAAACCTCCCGTTTTGGGAGTATGTTTTTGTAAATATTTATAAACTTGTTTTTTGGAAATAATAAAATGCTTATATAATTAATTTTAGCCTTAACACTGTGTTGTGGGGCCCGAAGTAGGAGGTGACGACCTCATGATGCAGTGTGGCGGTAGCATTTCCAGTATGAGCCAACTGGGGGTGTTACATTAACGATTTGAAGACGAAGGGTTCCTATACCCCTGTAAGTCTTTAGAATAAAAATTACTATATTATCCATACGTAATCTAAACCGTTCATCATAATCTAATTATGATGAACGGTTCGGATTAGATTAGCATGGTGCTAATGAGTGCACCCATCAGCACCGGATCAGCCTCCATATATATTAATTTAAGTCTCATTATTAAAAAAAAAATAAAAATCATTAATTCTAGTTTCATTATAAAAAAATTTAATCACTTTGATCCTACCATTGAAAAACTAACGATTAATGCTGATATGAATATAATAGAATGTGTTCAAAAATAATATGGTTGTGCCATATTCGTAACCGTATCAAACATTACCGTGTTAATTGGAACATGGCTAATTCCTTGCCCTATTAAAACAAAGCTGAGTTTTACTTTTAACACGACCAAGTTTATAGCGAAACATGTATTAAACAATCTTGTTCGTCTGAGACACAGACATGTTGGGTCATTTTTTCAATATTAATATGATAAACATTTAATTTAAAGATAATAAAAAATATTAAATATGCATGATTGATGTGTTGTTTGGGATATATTCTTATATTTTTAAGGAAATGCAAACAAAAAAACAAAAAAGATTACTATTTTTTATTAATTAAATTCATACAGGATCAATATATCAACTCGACAACCATCTTCAATATGCAATATTGCAACAAGATGTAAGCAAAAGAAATAATATCACCAAATAAGTATAAACAATGGCAGTCTTTCTTCTTGTATCATCACTTATGAAACTATTTTTCTATTGGAGTCAAAGTCGGAACATAAAAAAGAAAGTTATAGTGATATACTGTGTTTATTATTTTATTAAACTTTTATAATACTATCTCCGTCCGTCAAATTTATGGACATTTAACTAAATTTAAGTGTGAGTCCATAAGTTTGGCGGATGGAGTGAGTAATTTAATTTGATATTTTACAAGAAAAGTGTCATTTTGCATTTTTTTAATTTTTAATTATTTTTTATTAGCATTTTCATAATTCTTTAAAAAAATAAATAATACTTCTCCTTCCGGTAAAATTATGTAGGTTTAGTTGGTGATATATGCTATATTAGATGAATATTTTGTTATATTTATGTCGACTTTTTGATGCAAAGTTTTTTATATATATATATATATACTCCTGCTTTTTATGTTTTTTAATGTTTATTAGGCTTCATGAAGTTGACAAAATTTTGGGCATATGATGGACAAAATTAGCCGAATTGATAAAAGCCTTAAGCATTATCACGCTTAAGGAGACCACAGTGTGGAAAAAGTAGAAATTTAAAAAAGAGTGAAGACAATTGAAGAGATTAGGGAAATGCATTATCACGGTCTCACACACGACATCACTCTTGGAGGGAAAAATAAGACACAAGAAGAAAAGTGTGCAGAGAACTTCCAGGAGTGGTGCAGATGGAGCTTCCGGGTATTTTTGCTTCATTCTTAGAATTTTTTTTTGTTGACTTCTGAAATTGAAGGCCTGATGATGTGTCTATTTTGTCTTGAGTTTGTTATTCGTATGGATTGTGAGTAAATTGCATTTCCAGCGTTGGTGTGAATAGATATTTAGGATTGAATTTGTGAGACTTAGTTTGGTTGAATTTGGTGTTCATTGATGTTGGATATTTTTAATTCTTCTAATTTATGAGTTTAGAAATCTTGAATTGATTATTGCGCACTTATTAGTTTGAAATTTCGTAGCTATAATGGACATTGACATCTGTAATTGTGTAATCTTCCAATTGGTGTAGCAACCTAAAAGAAGAATACTCCAAGGAAGGATTAAATTCAATTTTGAACAAATCTTCATAAGATTTTTTTTTGAATTGAATTGGGTTTTCTAGATCTTAATGTTGTCAAGTTAGCAATACTATAGTTGTACCTAGGATTCTCACTCTATTAGGGAAATAACTAATGGTCGTACCTTAGATATCAAAAAAGTAAAAAAAAAATGTTGGTTGCGAACACATTTAGATAAACTATAATCAATTTATTCAACTAGGCATTGAACTTGATTTTTAGTCGATGAACAAAATTCATATCCCAAATAGAGAACTCATGCCTATGCTAGAATTTAATCATCTTTGGTAAATCAATCATCTTGCATTTTAGTTTGCTTTATTTAATTGAGTGAATTTTATTTTTTTCCAATTTAGTGTGATAAATCAAAATCTCCCCTATTATATATATTAGTATAATTATATTCAATCGAGTGTTCAAATCATTACAACTTCTTTGCAGAGACGACCAATTTTACTGCATTTTGCATATTTTTTTATGTAAGAACTAATATTTATTTTCAGCCGTGATACAGGCTAGCACTCTTGACACTGTTGTCGGGGAACAATATAATTTTTTTTTATACTTTGTTGTTTTTATCTAACTCTCTTTCTCAGTTAATGGTTTATATCTCGAACTGGTCATACAAGTCAATTAGTTTTTGATCCGGAGATTGAAAGAACTGCACGTTGTTTGAGGAAAGAAGCTAAAGAGCAAAAGAAGGCTGAAAAAAGGGTTGAGTCATCGGGACTTAACTTAGCTATCCAACTAGTAGACACTGCTAGTTACGACGAGGGTGAAAAGATCAAAGAAGTTGAAGACATTTTGATACATCCGATGGCACAAAGAACTCTGAGAGAGCTAGCTACTCTTAATTTAGTTCAACACCCTTTGTGTATTACTTTTCCTACTATAGCCGATAATACGGAATTTGAGTTAAAATATGGACTAATACATTTATTTCCGTCTTTTCATGGCTTCTCAGGTGAGGAACCACACAAGCACTTGCAGGAGTTCGATGTGGTGTGTACAAGTATGAAACCACCGGGAGTAATTGAGGACCAAATTAAACTCTGAGCTTTTCTATTCTCTTTGAAAGATGCAACCAAGGATTGGTTGTTCAATTTGCTCACTGGAAGTGTAACGACGTGGATGTATATGAAGCGTAAGTTCCTTGAGAAGTTCTTTCCCGAAACCCGGGCTGCGAATTTTTGAAAAGATATTTGTGGCATTAAGCAACCATCAATGGATTCATTATACGAATATTAAGATAAATTCAATAAATTAATTGTTGATGTCCCCAACATCAAATTTTTGAGCAAATTTTAATCCAATAATTATATGAAGGACTAACTTCCATTGACAAGAGATCATGGATGCTGCCAGTGGAGGCGCTTTCTTAAACAAGATTCCGAAAGAAGCTTAGGAATTGCTAAACGATATGGCTATGAACTCTCAATAATTTGGGTCAAGGGATATCATGGGATTTAAGGAATCTTACGAGGTAAGTTCTCCTATGCAACAACAATTGAATGAGTTAATTGCTTTTATAAGAAAACTTGTTGTAGGAAACACTCAAGTGAAGCCATGTAGAATTTATGCGAGTGTTGAGCATACTACGGATGCTTGTCCTATGTTGATGGGGGAGGTGGAAGTGAGTGCTGAAAATTTTGTACCAAGAAGGACTTATGATCTCTACTTCGAACACATTTAACCTGGGATGGCGACATTGCCCCAATTTTTGATTTGGGAATCAAAATCACCAATTCTATTGTCAGAAGCAACCATCAGGTTTCGAACCACCTACACAGTAGCAGCAACAACGGACCATGCCCCAAGCTCCCACTCCTGGTAATTCTTTGCATGATATGGTTAAAAAACCTGCCTCTAATATTTTCCAATTTCAGCAAGAGACGAGAACTAGTATATAAAACTTGGACGATCAGATGTCTCAAGTCGTGAAAGAAGTTCATGAAATGAAAGAAAAGGAGAAAGGCAAGCTAGTTGCTCAAAGCCACATGAACCCGAGCAATGTTAGTTCAATGGTCTTGCTAAGTGATAGGGAGCTGGAAGTGAACAAGTCTTCCAATAAGGTAATTCCTAACCTCCTTTATTCAATATGAATATAATATTGCTCCATTTCCTTATAGGTTAGCAAAACCAGCTAAAAATAACAAGAACAAAGAGAAATGGAACTGTTTAAGAAAGTGGAGCTAACAAAACCTTTGCTCGATGCAATTAAGCAAGTTCTCCGTTATGCTAAATTTCTGAAGGAGCTGTGAACTACAAAGCAGAGGTTGCGAAGGGATGAGAAGGTGCTAGATGGAGAGATTGTGTCCACCATGCTTCAAAGGAAAATTCCATAAAAATGCAGAGAACCAAGTATGTTTGTAGTCCCGTGCAAATTAGGTAAGATGAAAATTAAAAGATCTATGCTAGATTCAGGTGCAGCCATAAATGTTATGCCTAAGTGTATTTTTAACTATTTGAACATTGGACCTTTGAAAGAAACAAAGATAATAATTCAACTAGCAGATAGAACCAACGCTTACTCAGAAGGGATAATTGAGGATGTCCTTGTTCAAGTGAATGAGTTAATATCCCCTGTTGATTTCTATATTTTAGATATGCATGATGATAATTTGCCTAATCCTTCACCTATTCTGCTTGGGAGATCTTTTATGTGCACTGTACAAACAAAGATTGATGTTAAAACAGGGACACTAACCATAGAGTTCGAAGGTGTAAAGGTTCATTTCAATATTTTTGAAGCAATGAGATATCCTGTGGAGCTTAATACCTTGTGTTGTGTAGATGTCATTACTTAAAATGTGCAGGAAGTCTTTGACTTGAGTGGAAATGATGAATTAGAGGTTGCACTTACAAACTGCTTGTACATGAAATCAATGGATGAATTTCCCATGATTGGTGCATTGGAGGAAATGATTCGGGCTTTGCAATCTCTGGTACCT